GGGGCAAATCATTGTTTGTAATAACTATTTGTAAGAATTGCTATTGTAAATTGTACTGCTGTGTGTATATTAAAACGTATTTGTGTTAAAAAATGAAATCAGTGTGTGTATCAATCTTGTTGGCAAATATCATAAAATGACTATATATTGGCTTTAATTTAACTACTAAATCCAAAGTACAATTTAACTACTAAATTAAATTATCAGTTAACTCAATTTCAGACCATTTAAAATTCTAATACGTAACACACCAAACAGAGAATTACATTTAGTGAGTTATATTAAAGCAGTAGAAAATGACATAATACAGACCTTAAAATCTTCCAAGCAATGTCCTAATAATATTAACCAAAATGAAAGAAGTGCTTCAAACAATCTTAAATAGAGTAACAATATCATAATAAAGACAGCAAACAAGCGTGGAGCTATCGTTATTTTTAATAAAGATGATTAGATCATGGAAGCTAACCGGCAACTAGAGGACACTAATTTCTACAAAAAACTCTCACATGATCCTACAACTCAGTTTATTAAGACCATAACTGATAAGCTTAAAGAACTTCTCCAAAATAATAAAATTAACAAAAAAGACCTTTCAGTATTTGATATCCAGACAAGCTTTTCCTGGTAGATTTTATCTCTTATCCAAAATAAAGAAACCGAACAATCCTGACTGACCCATAATTTCTAATATAAACATGGCTACTGAAATCTTGTCTGCTTTTGTTGACCAACACATAAAATGTATTCCCTGTACCCTCTCCTCTTACATAAAGGATACTACTCACTTTCCTAACATCATATAAGATATTAATACTGAAAAACAGTTACCACCCAACAGTCTTCTTTGCACGATGGATGTTTCTTTCCTTTACACCAATATTCCACATGATGAAAGATTACAAACTCTAAAGTCCACATTAAACATTTCTAACCAATCAGAAATCTCAAACAGTAACTGATCTTGCCAGCCTAGTTTTAACTCTGAACAACTTTTAATTCAATAATGAGCATTATATTCAGGTTAATGGTACTGCTATGGGTACCAAAATGGCTCCCAATTATGCCAACTTTTTTTATGGGTCATACTGAAAACCAGATTTTACAACTAAGCTCTGTAAAACCTCATACATGGAAAAGTTACATATACAACATATTTTTTATTTGGACAGCCAGTTGTAAATCACTTAAAGAATTTATCTCACAAGCACACTCCTTTCACAAAACAATCAAGTTTACCTGTGATTACTCACCTACTCAGATTAACTTTCTTGACATCACTGTTTTTCTAATAGACGGAATTTTACACACTGACTTGTACAAAAAAACTATGGACAGACCACAATATCTTCACTATAATAGCTGTCACCCCTCTAACACAAAACGAAACATTACCTACAGTCAAGCTCTTAGCAGAAAAACTAATAAATTCCTCTTATTATCACCTCTCAGTTTAAACTCAGAAATGTTTCACGAATTCTGAAAAACATTTTCATTTCCTACAGCTCCACGACCGTTTTAAACAGATATTTTCTGAAGTTCCTGTTGTCTCCTTCCAAAAAAGCAGAACTCTAAAAGATATCCTTGTTCACACAAAAGTGTATTATATCCCACCCAAAAATGGTCCATGCAATAAAGCCTGTTGTCAAACCTGCAAGTTCATAAAAACCACTGACTCATTTTCTGACAAGCACAATCAAAGAAACTTTAAAATATCCAAAGAAAATCACTTGTGAAACAAAAAACCCCATTTAATTATACAGTGTAAAAAATGCAATCACCAATATGTAGGACATACACAAAAAACTCTTAGAGAACGTTTCAACAACCATAAATCTTTTATTAACACCAAAAAAGTTCTCCCTGTTGCTCAACACTTTAACCAACCCAGTCATTTTATTGACGATGTTACTCTGATCGGCGTTGAAACAGGATTCAAAACTAAAGCAGATAGAGAAATAAATGAAGCCTATTGGATTGCTAATCTAAACACTGTTCAACCTTTCAGAATTAATCAAGATCCTGGAATCAGTGATCTCTGTTCATTGGTTTCATCTCTGTTAGATAAAAATTTGTTATTCTTTGCATATTTTTTCATGTAATGTGAACACTGAATTTCCTAAAACTTACTATTTATTTAAGATAATTTTTCATACTTATAAATTGATTAGCATAAAATATCTTTTTCAATAAATTTCCAGGTGTCACCTTAATTTTACTCAAATGCTTAAGTATAGTTTTAAATAAACATATATTTAGCCATTTATAAAGTAAAATATTTCTAACACCTTTTCACATACACTCTCCTCATCAGCTACATTGTACTGGAAATGAGATGCTTACAACAGTACATAGAGAAATAGACTAAACATTTCCTCGAAAACCGGATAACCTTCATGACGTCACTCAACTCCCTTTATATTATATCACTCATTCAATTACATCACCATTCCCAGTTGGTCCCTGAAGAAGAAAGGTCCACCTTTTGAAAGCCCTTGGGTTATAAGGGTTTTATTTATTTCTGTCAATACCGATATAAAAGTTTTAGACAATAAAATCATACATATCTTCTCCATAACAGTATCATTACCGATACAAAAGTTTTTGACAAAAATCATAAACATCTTCTCCGTTACATTATTAATACCAACATAAGTATTAGACAATAAAAGTCCTACATATCTTCTCCATAACAGTATCAATATCGATATAAAAGTTTTAAACAATAAAAAACGTACTCATCTTCTCCATAACAGTATGTATACCGATATAACAGTTTTAGACTATAAAAAATCCTACACATCTTTCTCGGCAATAGTATCATTACCGATATAAATGTTTTACACAATAAAAATCATACACATCTTCTCCGTAATATTATCAACAGCAACATAAGTTTTAGACAATAAAAATCCTTGACATCTTCTACGTAACAGTATCAATACCGATATGAAAGTTTAGAGAATAAACTTCCTACACATCTTCTCTATTACAGTATCAATACTGATATAAAAGTTTTAAACAATAAAACACATATTCATCTTCTCCATAACAGTATCAATACTGATATAAAAGTTTTAAACAATAACAAACTTACTCATCTTCTCCATAATAGTATCTATACCAATATAATAGTTTTAGACTATAAAAATCCTACACATCTTTTTTGCCAATATTATCGTTACCGATATAAATGTTTTAGACAATAAAAATCCTACACATCTTCTCCGTAACAGTATTAATACCAACATAAGTTCTAGACAATAAAAATCCTACACATCTTCTCCATAACAGTATCAATACCATCATAAATTTTACACCATAAAAATCTTACACATCTTTCCTAAAACAGTATCAATACTGATATAAAAGTTTTAGACAATAAAAATCCTTCACCTCTTCTCCGTAACAACATAATTACTGATATAAAAGTTTTAGACAATAAACATTCTACACATATTCTCCATAACAGTATCAATACTGATATAAAAGTTTTAGACAAGAAAAATCCTACACCTCTTCTCCGTAACAATATAATTACTGATATAAAAGTTTTAGACAATAAACATTCTACACATATTCTCCATAACAGTATCAATACTGATATAAAAGTTTTAGACAAGAAAAATCCTACACATCTTCTCCGTAACAATATAATTACTGATATAAAAGTTTTAGACAGTAAACATTCTACACATATTCTCCGTTACAATATCAATACCAAAATAACAAAAAAAGGGGTTATAGGGTTTTTATTTATTCCTTCAGATAGTGGTCAGTGTATGTCAACATGTTTATAGACTTACATTCAAAATTTTATTGAA